TGATTTTCATGACCCAAGTTAGTAATTAATGGCTTCTTTAAATGATACTTTCCTTAATTCAAACTTAACGTGCTAATTGGTAGTGGGGGTTACCAAGTACAGTATGTGTGTATGTGTAAACAATGTTCTTATCCAGGTATTAATGGTCAAAATCTAATAAACTTTTCACTTAGCCCTCATAAGAAACACCAGGCTCATGGGCAAAATTAGCTCTTGGCTTGCTCATTGGCTTAAGGACATCAAGTACTTGGCAGCTTTGAAATCTCCTCTGTGCTCTTTGAGCTACCATGAGGAAGGTGTAGTCCTGTGCTGTATTGGTGTAATAGGTGACCTGCAACCGTGAAGAGAAGGAAAGTTACAGAGGCTGTGTTGACTGCCAAAGTCAACACACTGGATCCCACCTCCCGGCAAGAGTCATAGCAACAGTTTCCTCCACGCCCCGTGACAAGGCCCATTCAGTCCTAGATAGCCTGATTCCACCCAAAGCTGAACATGGGTTAGCCTAGCTCAGCGGTGTGCTGTTGTTCCTTAAACCACATGAAGATTTTTGTTATTGTTTTTACCTCCAGCTCTGGGCCTCAGTTCAGTCTCTTTCCCATAATGAGCACCTTCAAATCAATTTGATCTCCTTTTTTTTTGCAGAGCCCTCTGTTAGGCAGAGAGATGGCTTGGCAAGATCTTATCTACAAGTAAACCTTGGATTTGTGTCTTAGTTACGTTTGGGTTGCTGTGATAAAACACCATGACGCAGGCAACTTAGGGAAGAAAGAGTTTATTTTGGCTTACGGTTCCAGAGGGCTCGGGTTCCTGAGGGCAGAGAAGAGGCATGGTGACTGGAGCAGGAAACAGAGCTCACATCTTCAAGCCACAAGCACAAGGTACAGAGGAATCAAACTGGAAATGGTATGAGCCTTTAAATTCTCAAGCCCAGTTGCGGTGACATACTTCCTCCAAGAAGACCACAAACCTCCCCAATCTCCCCAGATAGTGCTATCAACTGGGGACCAAGTGTTCAAATGGCCAAGACTATGGGGGACATTTCTCATCTAAACCAACACAACTTGCTGCCAGGAGACACAATAATTGCGCTTTCAGGTTTGAAAGAATGGCCACTACCACCACCAACCAGGCTCAGAGTTTTGGCTTAGAGCTGTAGTGAGGTCGTGTAAGGGTTCAAGGAAGCCATTTCTGAAGATAGCATCAGATGCCCCATGAAGTCAGGAGGGTCCAGCTTCACCCCAAGGCCTTGGGATTTGCAAAGGCAAAGTCAAGGGCTAAGGTGAACAGCACTGTCTTGCCCTGGGAAGGCCCCAGCACCAAGTTGTTGAATTGGAAGATAAGATAGGAGAGCAAGAGCAAAGGGGCCCCGTGACTGTTCTTCCTGCAACTCAAGGGAGTCAGTCAATTTCTACCCACTCCTAAGGGAGACAACTTCTCCGGGCTGAGCACCGTACAAGGCTAACTCAAATGGATTATAGCCCATCTCCCCAAATACAAACATGTGCAGAATTAATCCACAAAGCCGAGCTGAAGGCATCCTACCTGAGCTACTCATCCCCTGAGTGGCTTCAAGACTAGTACTCCTCTACTCCATTTCTCTGGTTTCCTAGTTGATGGGCCACCTTTCCCAATTTGCCAGATGTGTGCGACCCTGCTGAGGTGCCATCCTTGCTACCAGCTTTCTCCATGCAAAATCCTACCACTAATAAACAGCTTGCACACCCCTGGCAGATGGGGGGGGAGGGGCGCGGGGGGGGGGCTGCTCTCTCTCACCAGTGCAGCTACATATACCTCACTTGCAAAGAAGGCCCAACAGTCTCTCCTTTGTTTTCAATCTGTCCCCTACAAGCAGCAATGGTTCTAAGAATAGGGTGGTGGGTAAGATGAAACACATTCTTCTTCCCCTCTTCCCCCTCCCATGTTGTGGGTTAAATGTGCGAAATAATGGTAGTGCTAGTAGCATGGATATAGTGTGTGTGTTTGTGTGTGTGTGTGTGTGTGTGTGTGTGTGTGTGTGTGTGTGTGTGTTGGTTAGTTTGGGTTTGTTTGTTTTTTGTTTGTCAAATTGACACAAGTGTCATGTCATCTGGGAAGAGGGACCCTGAATTGAAAAATGCCTGTAGGGAAATCTGTGGCGTATTTTCTTGGTTAATGATTGATGTGTGAGGGCCCAGCCCACTGGGGGCGGTGCCACCCTTAGGCCGGTGGTCCTGGGAGATGCTAAGAAAGGTAGCTAAACATGAGCCTGGAGAGCAGAAGCAATGTTCCTCTGTGGTTCTGCTTCAGTGTTTGACTCCAGGTTTCTGCCTTGGGTTCCTGCCCCAACATCTCTCAGTGATGGACTGTGACCTGGGAGTTGTGAGATGAAATAAACCCAGGTTGGTTTTAGTCAGTGCTCTATCACAGCAACAGACAGCAAGCTAGGACAACGTGTGAGCCATTCAACGGTCCTCAGAGTGATTCTTTCTTGTGGGCATTTTCTTTATTTTTAGAGAAGGACACTGAGATTCAGCAAGGTTTATAGATGGCTGACTACATGTGTGAATACCCCAAATTCCAAGGTGGAAACTCAGTCCACAGCATGATGGTGTTACAAGGTCAGCCTTTGAGAGAGTGTTGAGGGGGAAAGAACTCTGCCCTTAAGAATAGGACTCAAAAAAAAAAAAAAAATAGGACTCATGTCCTGACTAAAGATACTCCCAGGAACCTGTTTCCTCTTCTTCCATATGAGGATGCAGCAAGAAGGTGCCATCTGCAGAGAACTGGTCCTCACCAGACACCAAATCTGTTAGTGCCTTGTACTGCCTAGTTTTGCGTCAACTTGACGTAAGCTAGAGTCATCAGAGAGGAAGGAGCCTCAGTTGAGGAAATGTCTTCATGAGATCCAGCGGTAAGGTGTTTTCTCAAGTAATGGCCAATGGAGGAGGGCCCAGCCCATTGTGGGTGGTGCCACCCCTGGGCTGGTGGTCCTGGGTTCTGTAAGAAAGCAGGCTGAGCAAAGGCAGGGGAAGCAAGCCAGTAAGCAGCACCCCTCCATGGCCTCAACATCAGCTCCTGCCTCCAGGCTCCTGCCCTGTTTGAGTTCTTGTCCTGACTTCTTTTGGTAATGTACAGCATGTGGAAGTGTAAGCTGAATAAACTCTATCCTCTCCAGCCTCAGGGGGTTTCATCACATCAGTAGAAACCCTAAGACATCCTTGGCCCCGGATTTCTCAGGCTTCAGAACTGTGAGCAATCTTTTCTGTACAGACTGTCCAGTCTGAGGAGTTCTGTTAGAGTGGCCCAAGGACACAGCAGTGGTCCTCTGTGTAGTTTTCTTGGCCCTCACCCATGTTTTAATGTTAGTTTTAGCAAACTTCTACTAACTGCTACATTTTAGTGATGATTAAGTTAACATTTAAAACAGTTAGCCTTCAGATCCAAATTTTGTTTAATTAAAAAAAAAATACTCTGTGTGTCTTAAAATAAAGCTATTTCTGGAAAAAATTAATAGAAGGCCAAGCTGGGGTTCAAACCCAGGTAGTTTGATTTCAAGGCAGTGTTCTAGGGTGTGGTGGGCACATGAGGCAGAAAGAGTTCATTCAAAGACAAGTAGAAAATACCAATAAAACCATCCAGAAGTCAGAATGGATCTTCAGTGCTTATTATTAATTTTTAATAACACAGTAATGAAACATTTTCTTGGGTGGACCACTCCTCTGGACTTAGTAGGCTGGATACTGTCTTGTCTATGTGCGGGTCCAACCTGGAGCAGCCACAACACAATTCAGAGGGAAACTCAACTGAGAAACTGAGAATGGCCAAGCAAAAAAGATAGGAAGACCTTGGGCTTATACTTGTTGGGTTTTGTTGTTATTTACTTTTAAAGTTATTGTGGCGAAATGCACCTGTGGAAATGTATTGTTTCAATCATCTTTTAAGCATAGATTTATGGCATTGGGTCCATTCATAATGTGTACAACCAAGGCTTTACCAGAACTTCTTCATTACTCCAGACCAAACTCTTGAGCTACTGAAAAATAAATATCCTATTTCTCACTTCACAGCCTCTGTCGCTGTCTCTATTACCGGGTCTCTATGAATTTACCACATATACATGGAATCATACAATATTTTTCTTTTTAAACATAATGTTCATTTATGTTTTAGCATATGTCAGAGGTTTTTTTTTTTTTTTTTTTTTGGTTTTTTTTCGAGACAGGGTTTCTCTGTGTAGCTTTGTGCCTTTCCTGGAACTCACTTGGTAGCCCAGGCTGGCCTCGAACTCACAGAGATCCGCCTGCCTCTGCCTCCCGAGTGCTGGGATTAAAGGCATGCGCCACCATCGCCCGGCGAGTTTTTTTTTGTTGTTGTTGTTTTTTGTTTTTTGTTTTTTTTGAGACAGGATTTCTCTGTGTAACAGTTCTGGCTGTCCTGGATCTCACTCTGTAGACCAAGCTGGCCTCAAACTCACTTAGATCTGCCTACCTCTGTCTCCCAAGTGCTGGGACTAAAGGCATGCACTACCATGCATGGTGATAAATTATATTTCTTCTTTAGGTCATAGAGAAGTGTTTGTTCAGGCATACCTCAGATCATTCTACAGCAGCTCCAGGTGGGTCACACAGGGTACCCAGGATGACAACTTGCTGGAATATAGCAGAGTTTCTCAGAATGGTTGGTGTTTATATCTAAAGCATTATATGTGCACATAAACACAGACCCCTGATAAAGCCCACACCTCTGCCTCCTTTTACCATTAGTTATTTTGATGATCGTAATTTCAACACCTAAAATTACTCAGTACCTAACATTTAGTTCTTCATCATAAAAAAAAAAAAAGCTGGATTCCAGGCTTACTGGGACACTGTGCCATGCTCTCTTAGGAATAAAGATTGCTATTTCTCTGAATACCTTCCCACAGTCTTCACTGGAGATGAAAAGGACAATTAGTTAACCATAAAGAATAAAAACATTTAAGAAATGCCACTCTGCATCAATTCCAGTTTGGCAGGCATGCGAAGGGTGGGTGGTTAATGTTTTATTGTTACATGACACTTGCTATATAGAAAGCATTACAGTAATAATAATAACAATAATAATAAAGGGATACTTACTAAAACTGAAAAAGAAAGGTGGGTAGTAAGTTACCATGGCAAAGAAGGTTGAGAAAATTCCATGTAGGCCATCACCTTCTCTGGGAACCAAACACGAGAGCTGACTGATCTGCAGGATCCTTGTGGGGCACAGTGGCTTGTGGCTATAAAGAAGTGGACAGCGGCAGTTGGGGATCCAGAGGAGTGAGGACCAGGAGACACATGAACTAGGAAGAATGTCTTTGTTCATGGGTTCACATAAAAAAAAATACATCTTTAAAAAAACTGAGTAGCTGCATGTGGTGGGTGATGCACACCTTTAATCCAAGCACTTTCAAGGGCAGAGGCAGGTAGATCGGTGAGTTTGAAACCAACCTGGTCTACACAGCAAGTGTCAGGCCAGCCAGGGTTACACAGTGAGACCCTGAATAAAAAGAAAACCGAAAACCTGAATAAGCATATATAGATTCTTTTCTGTGACTGCCATTAGAAATCAATTGTGATGCAAATATACAAACCTATCCATTCATTGTAAGCATGCATTATGTCTTCTGCAACGATCACACTATGTATCACCTCATAAACATTTAAGGCTTTGCTTATTGCTTTCTGGCTTCCAGTTTTCCCATCCTGGGAGAGGACAAAAGCCTTTAGAGATCCATCAATCCAACCCTTTCATTTCGTAGACAAAGGAGAATAGCTGCCCACTGGCACATTCATCCTCAGTGGCAGAGATTGGCTTGCAAGTAGGTCTCCTGGCTCCCAGTGGGCACTTTCTCATTATTTGACATGACTCACCCTTAGCCACATGCTCAGTCTGTACTTGTTTGCACCGTTTCCGTCTCAAATGGGCTGAAGTTCTATGAGGGAAAGGTACAGGTTCATGGGGCCTCCTTGGCTTGTTAGGTACATTAGGCCCTAAAAGTGAAGCTGGTAAAAATACAGTCTCTGCACATACAACATACGCACATCACATCACACCACACACACACACACACACACACACCCCACAACCATACAGACACACACACCACACCACACACTCACACACACACACACACACCACAGACACACACACACACCACTCCGACACACACATCACACCACACACACACACACACATCACACCACACACACACACACACACACACACACTCACAGTCCGACCACCCTAGATAAGCCTCCCCAAGTCAAAGGCTAACCTAAGAGGTTATTGATTTTTAAAAGCAAACAGCTAGTGAATCACATCCCATTCACAAGCTCTGCAAATAAAACCCTGGTTACAGATGGCAACTAACAAGGTCAGGGGACATCTCCACAGAGCCCCCAGCTACCACACTCTCAAAAGGATTGCTAATTTGTGGCGGGAACTGGTTCCAAACTCCAGTAGAAACAAAACCACACGTGGCTGGATTATTTTCAAAAGTCTGACCGTTCTGACGTCTGCTTCTGATGTACAACTTGTGTGCATCCACACTGCGCATGTCCCAATCTGGCCATCCACGTTTCTGGGTGGCGGCACCAGGAAGCTCTACGGTAACATTCACGATGGAAATAGGAAGGAAGGTAATCAGACCTCTCACGGTCGGAGCCATTTTCTTCATGTCTTTTTAGGATTTTTAACTTCGTATTTTGAAAATGTCTATCATACACACCTGTTCACAGTTCAACAAAAGAAATGAGTTAAGAATATTCATGAACTATGAAAACTACAAAAAACTAGATGCTAGAAATTGACCATCTTGAGTTTACCAGCAGAGAGTTCTACAATCCTAGGCCTGCAGAAATGTACCTTTCTTGTGCTCCACAGATTTCCTGGAAGCAGACTCACTCAAATAGAAGTATTTCTGAGATGCTGCTTTCTCAAGTGAGGATGAATCATTTTGTTTACAGAACAGGAGCCAGCCGGGTGTGTGCTTCGTCTCAGGCAAGGAACTGTCCTCGCAACACACTCCGTGTCTCTTTCCATACAGCTTGCTGCCGCTCATACACAGACTCCTGGAAAATCCTCTCCACTTGCGTAGAAAAGCCTCGGCTTTCTTCTTCTAAGGCATTGATGGTCTGTAGCGCCAAGGGAGTCCTTTCCCGGGGAAGAGGGCTGTTCAGGGGCCGCATGGGTATGACGGAGTTGTACTTGTGCTGCCGATTCACAGAATTCATCAGGGAAGTGTAGAACTGGAAGTTACACCAGGTGTCTCTTAGAAAGTTTTCAGTCAGTAACAAGATCGTCCAAGCAGACCCATTTACAGCATCATCTAGATTCTGCAAATGCATTCTGCCACACGGCATCTCGGCGAAAATTATCCCTGGCCTGATACCAAAGTCATTTTGCAGTAGATCCTGGACTCTGAGGGCCTCCTCTGTGTCATGTTCTGCATGCAGTATCACGAATTTGAGGAACACTTCTTCTTCAGCGTCCTCCTCAGGCATCTCTCCCTTTGCCTCAGCTCCCTCCTGCTCTCCTGTTGGCTGCCCTGTTTTATTACCATGCTCCACCAAACCCTGCAAGGACACATCCTTCAATTTCCCGGTCTCTGACTCATGGCAGTCTTGATCTGTATCCACACTGTGTCTTTTATGCCAAGAAAGGGGGCAGTTATCTAGTTTAGACTTCCCAACACCCATGGCGGACTTGTGGGATATACAAGAGAGCTTTATTTGAGTCTCAACATTTCTTCTCAATCTAAAAAGGGAACAACAAAGCAGAATATTATATGTTTAATCAAAAGATAAAAAAAAAAAACCTTTTGTTCAACCCCCCCCCCCAAATAAAAAAATAAAAAAAGGACCTAAGAAAGAAATGGCTGCCAATCAGGAAACCAAACTATCAGGCTTTTGTGAGTTTCACAAGGGCTGCCAAAGACAAGAGAAACATTTTGGTAGCAAACACAGATACAAAGGACGCAAATATCCCAAAGATGACTGACAGTTGCTCTCCTGAGTCAGCACCAAGAGATCTGAAACGTCAGTGTTCAGGATTCACCCTGTTCCTGTAGTGGTGGAAGCGAAAGAGAAGACATTACCATATACAAAAAAACATCTTTTTCCAGGCAGTCTTTGGAATGTTAGAGACCAAACATTCACCCGAATTAAGTTAACATCTCAGTTTGGATCAAAATCTAGGAACTAAGCTCTCCAGCTTTCTCCAGCTTAGCCAACCGAGGATGACGTAATTTCCGTTCATTCCTTTGTGATCTGAAATTCTGGAATTAGAAGACTTAGACCAGTTGTGAAAGAAAAGTAATCCACACGAGCGGAATTCAAATAACTTCAGAAGATGTTGGCAATGTTAAGTTCAAGGGAAATTCTTTTATCAAAAGACAATTTAGAATACTACTTGCATATATAAGCAATGGGATATATTATTTATTATTTATGATCAAAGACCAGATTCAAAAATAAACTAGGCTTTTGAGCCTATGTGTTTTCCCAGCTTGCACACATTCTTGGGGCTGTCTTTCTCTTTTTTAATTAACTTTCTCTGTTTATACCAGCATATATGTGTATACAGTCACATCCACAATGACCTAAATAATACAATAACGAGGTCCCACATAATTCAGATTCAGAAGAAGTGGTGTCACTGTTAGGAAAAACACACCTGGAATCTCATTCTAATGCATAGACAGGATAAAATTCCTTGCTGCTGCCTTTGGTTAGTGAAGGATGGCCACTGGTTATCATTTGTGGTATTTGTACGTTAAGGCTGGCTCCAAGGTGCTAGTTGACCAAGAAGTAGGCTAAAGTGCCACTCTAAAATGTAGCCCACATACATTGCAAATAATAAAACCTAATTGATTTGCCCATTCTTCACTGGCTAGGACTCAGTGCTGCCTCTTGTTACTGGTCAGGGTCTCATGAGGTCACTGCTCACCACGTGTGTCTGTGTTTCGTTTACCTTTTGAAAAGAGACAGTGATTCTCTCAGGCATATACCCAAAGGACACTTCACCCCACCATAGCAACACTTGCTCAACCATGTTCATTGCTGCTCTATTCATAACAACCAGAAATCAGAAAGAATCTGCATGTCCCTCAAAAGATGAGTAGATAAAAGAAAATGTTGTGCATTTATACAATGGAACTCAGCCATTAAAAAAATGAAATCATGAAATTTGCAAGTAAATGGATAGAGCTGGAAAAAGTTATCCTGAGTAAGGTAACCCAGACCCAGAAGACAGATACAATAAGTATTTGCTTATATGTGAATATTAGCCATTAAGTCAATGATGACCAAGCTACAATCCACAGAAGTTAGGTATAGAGTAAGTGGGTGCAGACAGATGTCCCCAGGAAAGGGAAATGGATGGATGGGGGGCTGGAACAGGAGGATCAAAAGGGGAGGGAGAGGAAAGAGGAGGATGAGGGAGGAAATATGGGAGAGACACCTAAAATTAAGGGCCATTTGAGGAATAGTATGGAAACCTAATACAGCAGAGCTTCCTAAAATACATACATAAATGAAGGAGAGCTAAATGAAGTAGCCAAATAATGGGGGAGACAGAGCCCCAGGTGGCCATCCATGGTCACCAAATGAAGCTTCAAGTCCCAGGATTGTGTTACATCTAATTGAGTTGTTGGTCAAAGGGGTCCCACGGGAACCCTCAAAACAACTCTGGCTATTGCAGACTATAGGTTGCTCTCCACAGACTGATGGCAAGTTCCCATTGCTAAAGGCTACAACTCATTGAACATGGAGAAGTAGAGTTGGTGCCTACAAAGAGCCTCCACCCCTATGTGCTAGTGTCTTCGGCACAGCAAGGTCCTCTGCATGCTACCAATGGAGAAACACAAACACCAAGCTAGACACTAATGGTTTGATCTACAATGCTGTCTTGCCTGCAAGATCTGCTAGTGCAACGGTGGCACAAAGCTTGTGGGAATAAATACCCAATATCTATCTGATCTGACTAAAAGGCCCTCTCCATAAGATGAACCCATACATGGGTGACCATGAACCTGAGCTAGCCTGGGGACCTAAGGTAAACCCAAATACCACAGTTTTAAAAATAAATACATGAATAATAATAAAGCACAGCAATAAAATTACTCCTAATGACATTTTGCAATACTAATAGATTAGATCAGTGGTTTTCAACCTTCCTAATGCTACAACCCTTTAATACAGTTCTTCATTGTTTTGATGAACCCCAGCCATAAAATTATTTTCATTACTACTTCATCACTGTAATTTTGCTACTGTTATTATGAATTGTAATGTAAATATCTGATTTGCAGATAGTTTAGGTAACCCCTTGATTATAAGGTTGTTCAACCCCTCAAGGGGTCACAACCCACAGGTTGAGAACCGATGGGTTAGAGCCTTGTTCAGCCTCCATCAAAGAAGCTTCCTTCTTCGGCAGATGGGAACAAATACAGAGACCCACAACCAGACATTTCATTATGCAGAGAGTGAGAGACTTGGGACACTTATCCTTAAATGTGGCGCCTCTGTCAAATCCCTTCCCTCAGGGCTCGGGGAAGCCCGTGGAAGAGGAGGCAGGAAGAGGACCTGGAAAGAGTGGAAGTGACAGAGAAGTTGGGGAACAAAAGAAAACAAGGCCCTCTAAATCAATGACCACACACACAGGAACTCTCAGCGACCGAGGCAGCATGCACGGGGACCACGTGGGTCTGTAGCCGATGGGGTCTCGGGCTGAAAGGAGGAGTGGACACATGGCCGGCCGCCTCCCTAACCCAGAAGCCACCTCCCATTAATAGATACTTGCAAATGAAAATTTAGTTTTTCTCCAAGAGAGTCTCACCGGGAAAACAATCCTCCTCTTAAGGGTAGGCTGCATGCCCAGAGGTAGATGGCCAGCAGAGAACACACTCAATGGCGTCTTTGGAGGTTCCTTGTCTCATAATGTCAGGGCTTTTCCCTTCTTTAAAAAAATTTATCTCATTTTAAAATTTTACTTTATTATATATATGCATACACACAACATACAGATATTTAAAATATATATACTCTCTCTTTTTTTCCCCTACAGGTCCTTTGCATATATATTATGGCTTCCAGTTTAGTGTTTTTATGGGATTCCTGAGTGTGTTTATGAATGAGTCTCTGTGTCTGTATCTTTTTCTCATTTTTTTTTTTTTTGGGCTCTTTTCCTTCTGTTTGTTTTGTCCTACTCTGATGTGTCAGTTTTTGTTTTCTCTTATTTTATTTTATATTATCATCACTTAGAGAAGCCTGTTTGTTTTCTAACGAGAGACAGAAAGGGAGTGGATCTGGATGGGAGGGGAGGTGGGGAGGAGCTGGGAGGAGCAGAGGGAGGAGAAACTGTAATCAGGATAAACTATGTGAGAAAACAATCTATCTTCTATCAAAGTAAAAAAGATATCAGTGATTTGAACACACAGTGACTGAAAAGTGTCCCCCACACTTGTTCCCACTGACCTTGTCTTACTTACACGGCTTCTTGTGGTACCCTCCCACTGCCCTTTGGAATACCAGTGTAGTTTTGTATTACTTTTCCAACAAGTGTTATCATTCACGTATGTACGAAAGCAGTGGGTAGACACTGCTGTGTATTTTCCCTAATTTCCTCCCCTCGGTATTTTCTCTCTGGGTTAGAGAATTTCCTCATTTCCTTCCAACTGCGTAATGCTCCAGCATGTGGCTACACCGTAGTCATTCCCTGTTCTTGGACATGCAGGCTGCTTTTAGTCTATTACTACCGTGAATGCTTCTGTTATGAAACGATTTCAAAGAAAAGTCATAGAACATTGTAGAAGCTTATCTGTAGAATGGTCCCATCAAACGGGGTTTCCATATCAAAGGTTCATTACATATCCCCCTTTTTGTGTTTGTATGTGTGTTTGTATGTATGTGTACTTGTCTGTGCCTTTTTGTGTGCACCTGTGTGTGAAGTTCCGAGATCAACGTTAGGTGTATTCTTCTCTTGCTTTACCCTTTACCTTTTGAGACAGAGTCTCTCCCTGATCCTGGAGCTCACTGCTTGGCTGGACTGCTGGCCAGTAAGCCCCAGGGATGGTCCTGCCTACCGCAGGCCCTAATAAATGAAAAGGTACAGGAGTGGAGGAGGGGAAGTGTGGTCAGGATGTCTTGTGGGAGAGAAGAAGAAGAAAAGAATTGTGGAAAAACGAGGACAGAAAAGATGAGTTAAAAACTGCTGGTGGACACTGTGTTTAAGTGAGTCTGCTGAGAAATAACGAGGAGAATAAAAATTAATGAGGACAGGAAGGATCCGTGCCGGTATCTGGAAGGAGAGCATGCTGGGAAGAGAGCAGCAAACCCACAGGTCCTGAGGCTGTTGAATGTCTGGCATCTGGGAAGGTGTGAGAGGTGGGGATATGGGTGGAGCCTGAACTGAGCTGTGAGCTGAGCAGGAGGAGCTAGCCCGAGAAGGCCGAGAGATAGCCTGGTCTACCCGATTTCATAGGACCGCTCCGTACTTGAACTAGAACAGAAAGAAGAGAGTAAATGCAGACGCAAGATCACTCGTGAGAGTCTGTCCTAGAAACTTAGCAGAAAATAATGGTGGTTTGACACTGAGTGGCCGCAGAGCAGGTGTCCGGATCAGGGACACGTTTTGAAAACAGAACTGAAAGGAACTGGTGTCCAGCAGGCACCGGATACTCTGGAGTTGGGAAAGAGGTTAACCCTGGAGATGCATAGTTGGCATTTATCTTCATACGTACTGTGTTTAAAACCTAA